CCATACAAAACCAAACCCAAATTCATAAAGAATATGTTTGATATGTGTAGCCCATGTGACTCTGCCAGCATCATCAAAACACTTTAACATTTAATAACTATCTAGAGTGATTAGTCTACACCAGTACTTCACTGCCCGTGACATGTATGTTAGCTGAAGTGGAGCTCTACCACATTCACCCAGTACCATACTATTGCATGTACTTTTACCAACCTTCAGGAATTATTTGCACATTCTTATCTGAACATTTTCAGTAGTTTTACAATATGTTGTTCCCCATATTTCTGACCCATAGCACAAAATTGGTGGAACCATTGCATCAAAAATCCCGAAAAGATCAGTACAATTAATATTACCTACTCTCTTTTGATATCTGTATATTGCCATTAAGGCTTTATTTGCTTGTGATGCAAGGCAGGACTGTGCATTAGTCCAAACTAGTCTGGGTGTAAATACTATACCTAAATATCTATAACATGACCTCAAGCTCTTGCCTGTGAAGTGACCTATTCTCATAGTGTCGCAGTGGGCCGCTGTTACAAAACACCATAACCTTAGTCTTTTTCAAATTTACTTTCATACCAGTTAATTCACACACAAAAAATCCAAACCAATTATATTTTTTGGTAACTGTAATGCAGTGTTAGCGACTTTCAGAAACATCATCAGCAAACATGAGAGCAAATAGATTATTTGCATCAGGAGATATATATACACCTTGTCCACCATATTCTTCCATCATGCTAATCAGTTGATTGATAAAAATAATAAACATCTGGGGACTCAAGAGGCACCCTTGACGAGTACCAACATTACAATGGAAGTAACTAGACAATCCATTTGAAGTTCTGACACAAGCTGAATATTGAAAGAATACTGAAGATTATCCCATTTATTCACACAGTGTTAAGGCTTGACAGTAATGCTACGCGGATTCTTACAGTTTGCACATCGGTTTCACGATTCATACCTCAATGAACCGAAACAAATACACAGTCAATCCTTAATTCATTCATTAACGTTGATGTACCAGATGTAAGGCTGGGGCGTTGTACATTTGTCTCGCTCTCCAAGTACATCCCATTGCATGTGATTACTACAGACTGTTCTGACGTGACCATGTCATTATGGCAGTGCACAAGCAACAACCTTGAACAAACACGTTGACCTTCACGCCTAGAGTAACATTAGCTTCGTATTTAATCCCCGTACACTATAACATTACATTAAGAATGGCGGCTTATAACCTGGCATCACCAACCCGTTCATTATTTAAGCTTGTGTCTAAGCCTCGAGTGATAAGAAGTTGCTACAAACAATACCTCAAACACCATCCAGCCCAATACACAAACCTTACACAATATACCCGCGTCCTACCTGGGACTCCAGTAATCAATATATTACATCAGTGAGTAGCTACAGGTGTGACTGTTGTAACAAGACTTCTGTACTACTTCAAGTATTGTATTTCATGTTAACAAACATTCTACCATGAATTTGGAATTTACTCGATTCTGATTGGTCAATCAGGGGCTATTAAATCACAATAAACCTCCTCTAATTGAAACAGCCGGTTTGACGGCCGCATCACCGCTAATATTCATAGAATAGTACTATTTTCAGTCAGATGTGACGTCATATCTTTTGCGTCACAATGAGCGATATGACGTCATACTGGTGACGCGGATGTAGAGCGAAAGCCTTGCAAAGCTTGCCTTGTTTTCTTTCGGGATGCCCACCTCATGTATGCTTACCAAGTTGCCGTGCTTATATGCTTTCAATGCCTGTCATATGTTCGAGTGAAGTATTACGGTGTAAACAAACTGCTTGAGTATATACAGCGCCATATTTTGTTCGGTGATTCCGTAATTCAGATCGATAACCCACTCAAAACACTGGACTCAACCGATGCCGCTTCACTCAGTATATTTGCTAATACCAAAGAGTTTGCGTTTTATTTAGTCATGGTAGAATGGAGATAAACATACTGTGTTTATCTCCTAAATATATCCATGAAAAAAGTAAAATACTACTACTACTACTATTACTACTGCTCCTACTACTGTAGATGAATATATGTCAGGTTATATATCGATATTATAGGGTTTTATTTAATCGCACCTCGCGTATGTAGCCGGGCGTGGTATGTTGTGTCCAGCCACTCGGCTGCTAGTTATAACATGAGGCAGTTCTTTGATAATGATGTTTATTCACGTTATCAGATGATAGGAGGGAAGCTGGAAAGAAGAGTCCTCCCCCCATAAAGAGTTCATGCAGAATGCATGAGGAGAGCAGGTGAGAAAGGAAGTTTAAAGAAGTGGACCAAAGGGCCAATCAGAAGAAAGGTAGCATCTGACAGGTATTAAAGGAAGTCAAGATGCTTCACAGTGACCTGAAGTGGTGGACATATCTAAAAATAGATAGGGGAAGTCCAGGTGAAGCTGGAGAAATCACAGAGGCTGCAAAAGGGTATCAAGGTTGATGTTAGTTGGCTGACATTCAACTGCAGACAAGGCGTCTTATTATGAACACAACATGAAGTGATGGTGATAATGGATGTAAATTTACATATATATATAATTAATACTAGGGGGTTATAAGAGGGTGGTACTTATGTGGCTAACTCATTCAGAGTTAGCACCACCACCCGGCTACACATACATCGATGTGCACGCTTAGAACTGATGAAGGAGTAAGTATATACTCCGACACGTTGTGTTCCTTATAATAAAGAAGTTGACATCCATACTTTCTCTGCCTTATGTGGCCCCTTCGTCAATGTGAGTCTGAATCGTGCTCAATTCCGCTCGTATGATGATTGGGAGTTTGCAGAGAGCTTGCGTGACTCTTCCCAGCCACTGACGTTTGTAGGAAAAGATTTTTAACTCATAAAACATTAAGCAGTATTACAGTATGAATAATGTCTCTACACATAGTCGCATGGCAGGTTCAGTCAGTGTGTAAGTGTGTATGTTTGTCATCACCTACAGTACCATCTGTTTATCCTATTCTCCATGGAGCAATGGAGCGGATGCCCAAAGGCCACCATGACGCAGTTTAACATGGATACCCGCTCAGACACGTCAACTGACCCCGAGCCGACCAGTCCTTGTTTTATCCTATAAATGCGGAACACGAGGCAGGGTAACAACAACCTTGCTGGCTGAGTGGGTTAGATCGATGACTTTGTGTGATGGCGATTAAGTGCCTCACTCTGGCAGAGTGGGTTCGAATCCCGAACGAGACTCAACCCAAAAAAGTACGAGCATCTGTACTTTACTCAGGAAGTGTTATCCCAAATGTAACATTTTTAACATCTTACCACTTTCTAAATGGCATTGTGTGTTCAGGGTAACAACAAGTACGAACTTTTAACGTTTTGGGGATTACGCGAGGAGGTTGTGTTATAAACAGATGACCGGCCCAAACAACGGAGACCTCAATCAGCAAAATCTCATGCATCTCCTATCAACCATCTGGTGAAAGCGTGACAGCGTTGATCACGAGGATGTAAAACATTGTTTATCACATGTGCAACGTAGCATTTAGCGAGAGATGAACCTATTGGCGATATCCGTGACGTTGTGTACGTTAATCTGCTTGTAAACTCTGGTGGGGTGATTGATGTAACTCTTTGCCTCCTACTGGGAGGCTTCCCATGAAACATGTGGACGAATCTGTTGCATTGTTCAGCGTTCATGGAGAGATTATATGACCGCCTTTGCCTGTACAATGGGCGATAACTCACGTCATGAGCGTGTTCCTCACCACATTAAGGTGAGGTGAGGTGAGGTGAAATGGGGTTTAACGTCGCGTCCAAGATTATTGCACTTTTATAACGACGTGCATGCACGTGTATTTGTGTGTGTGGCTGCTTGTACTAGTCCGGACTGATGCCGATTTATAGTGCTAGCTCACTGAGATACCATGCCGCAGTTTTAACATGAATACCCCACTCAGACACAGTATACTGACTCCGAGCCGACCAGTCCTTGTTTTATCCCCTTAATGCCGAGCGCCAGACAGGGTAACAACAAGTACCATCTTTTAACGTCTTTTGGTATGACGCGGTCGGGAATCGAACCCCGGACCTTCCGCTCTCCGGGCGGACGCTCTACCATTAGACCACGGAGGCGGTCTAACCACATTGAGAACTGCATGAACTGAGGTGTAATGGGGTTTAACGTACGTCTAGTCCAAGATTATTGCACTTCTATAGCGAGTGTGTGTGTGTGTGTGTGTGTGTGTGTGTGTGTGTGTGTGTGTGTGTGTGTGTGTGTTTGCGTGTGCGTGCGTGCGTGCGTGTGAACACCCATTAGACGAATAACGCCGCTTTCAGCAACAGTCCGGCCATGACACAGTTGCTCACACCCCTGTACCAGTGATTGAAACAGGGTTCTCAGTGTGACAACATTCGTTTACCATATTGTTGTCTTGAAGGGCGTTATACAGAGATACATCAACACATAAAACAGTTATGGAAGTATTATCATTTACTTGCCGCGACAGGATCCACTGAATTAGAATCTCAGACATTCGATTTTTCACCAAAAATGGAGAACACCAAAGCTACTTTAGGCTTTCCACACTTTTGAAGTTCCACACTTTTGGCTTTCCACTCTTTTGACTTTCCGCAGTTTTGGCTTTCCGCACTTTTGACTTTCCACATGTTTGGATTTACATACTTTTCGCTGTCTACGCAATTGGCTTTCCGAGTCGCATTAGTATAATCTCAAGGCACGATAAAACATTTACACTATCTCACCAAGTGCATGCATGTAAGCACACTCATTAAAATCAGTTTGCACTGTGGTTTGTCATCAGATTTCTATATGGAACATCACGAAAATTACAACATAATTAAGCCAGTGTTTACCATGACATGCACGGGCATATATTCATATCCCACGTCCACGTAACTGACATAGTGAACATGTGATGTGAATTCGACTGGCCGAATAACGTGCATAAAATAGAAAACACTTAGGTCATACCAAGTGTGTTAATCAATGTCCCATTGACGAGTTGGAAGCCCAACGGAGAGACTGCTGCCAAACTGTGGTGACCCTATGACACAACTTGCTGATCAAGGCTACACCACACACGTGGACATGACACAACATGCTGACCAAGGCACTACACACGTGGACATGACACAACATGCTGACCAAGGCACTACACACGTGGACATGACCAAAGCTGAAGGGCACTTGTTGGCAGAGCAGAGTACCAATGATGAGAGCACCAAGGATGAGAGTACCAAAGTTTCCTGCTTTAAGGCTAACCTTAAGGCTCATCGGTTGATGGTCATTATCGTGGTTGGGGTGATAGCTGGATTCGGCCTTGGAAGTGGAATACGATCTCTGGAGCCTTCTGGTGATGTGCTGATGTGGATCGGTATGTTGCAATAAGTGTTGGATTAAATGTTGATAAATGGAACAAATACTAGTATATAAACTATAATTGAATATAACAGGTGTTATATTTTGGATGACACTTTCTGAGTAAAGAACAGATTCTCGTACTTTTGTGGGTTGAGTCCCATCCGGGATTCGAACCCGCACTGACAGAGTGAGGTACCTAATCGCCAGAACACAAAGTCATCGATCTAACCCACTCAGCCACCGAGGCTTCCACAAATGAAAGTCCGACAACTGGTAGTCTGGATCACGTACTTTGACAGTTGTAAATTGTCAGACTTTCATTTTGTGGAACACATTGACAGAGAGAGGGAGATGGCGAGAGAGGTAGAGAGTGAGGGAGAGAGACGGAGAGAGTGAGGGGGGAGAGAGGGGAACAGAGAGAGAGAGGGCGGGGGGAGAAAGACACCATTTACAACATGCACTTATGTACTCTGTACATGTGATTCGCTCGTCACAAATTACATGAAACCTACATTTCTCCTTTCAACACAAAGCATGCGAACACACACAGACACGAACACACACAGACAAACACACACACACACACACACACAGTGGTGTTTTGTTTCTGATTTTGATAGTCTCAAAACCATTGATTTCTGTTTCAACTCACACACAGTAATGTCGACTCTTCTCGTGAGAGTAAACACACATCAATGACATACATTACTGCACATTTGTTCAAAATATGAGAAAGCATAAACATAAAAACATTACATATACCAAACACTATACATGTACTCGACAGAGAAAGTTATCATTCATGCTGGCTGCATCGCTTTGTTCTCAGTGATGGTCATGTGTGCATTGAGTGAAGCCAAAATGCGGGTATCCACTCTGTGATATTGAAGGACTATTGCTAAAAGCGACGTAAAACCCAACTCATTCACTACTTTATCACTGCATTATTCACACTGACAATAATGCATTGTCAAACGTCTTAGTGCATTGTTCATGTGACTGAAAGGACCCAACCGCATCCTACCGTGTTACTGAAACTGTTAACTGTCAACACCTTAATGAAAAGTCTCTAGAGCGGGCATGTTGAGGTTAAAAGTTAAAGGGAGATGGTCGGGGATTGATTTAAATTTACGTTTATGTCCTCTTTGTAATCTGGGGATGGAAGATGAATATAATTTTATCTAAATATATAACTCCTATAAGAACATAAGACCATCTGCCTGAAATGTATTGCCGTAATCCGAAAAACTATTAATTTAGAACGCTTCTGTCTTCGAACGCTGTAAGGTTATTTAGTAACTTATGTAAATATCTGTGTCAAAGATATGAAGATATGCAAACACTATAATATATATCATAATATAAGTCACTTGTGAATTCATTTACCATTGTAACATTGTCTATATGCACTTTATCTGTGTATGGGCCAGCGACCTTCATACAAATAAAAACTCTTGACAGTTTTACAAAAATACACACTCTAAATAATACTTATAAACCTCAAGTGACGTCATTGCATTGTTGTCAGTGGTACCTTATCCTGACTGTAAAACCCTTGGTTAGTCCATCATTCTGAAAGCCGGGGGCGGCTTTTAATTTACTCAGGGAAATGTGGGGTTAAACGGGCTAACATACAGACCTACACCGGGTCTGTTTTACCATAAAGACCCCGACTGGGTCTGTTTCAATATAGACCTACAAGTTTTCCTAAAGGCAAACAAAATGCCACTGATCATGCAAAAGGACAAAAACGGTGCATAGCTTTTTATTTGTCACAATTTTACAGCATGTTTAAACACTGATATTGAAAACGAGAGAGATTTGTTTTCCGCGCGTCTTTGCAGTTTCCTTATTCCCGATTACTGGATTTGAGACCAGTTCAGCGTCTTCGGTACCGGTCTGGTCGTTTTTTTCCGCCGTTCCTTGACCATCCTTGTTGGGAGCAATGGAGACTGTCGCAGCACTGTCGTACTGTAGTACTGGTCTCTGCTTTCCCCGCCTTCGCCAATGGTTCTTCATTTGAATTCCCGTAAATAATATCAGAAACGGCAGCCTGCATAGCCGTGTTAGTCCTCTTGTACCGACGCACAGCTGAACTACGTTGACCTGCAAAATGCATTAAAACTGCAGCATGAAATATTTTCGGCAACAGTTAAATTAATAACATCACACTTTTCAATTGTTATTCTAAAAGAGAAGTATATTTCTCCAACTCAGAAAAAACGGAGTAAATTGCTATCTAGAGACGGGGTGATTGAAGTCTGTTTCAACTCCGTTTTCAACAGTCCTTCAATCACTTCACAACGGCCAGTTTCCGGCATCTGGATCACTGATGTAATGCAGCGAATCCTGCAGGCAACAGTTTGAACTGGCAATCCAGTGTTTGAACTGCAGGGAACACGTTACCTCAATGCACTAGTTAGATATACTGTACACAGTACCAAACGTGTTATGACTTTTCATTACGGATTAACGCTACATCTGTATACATTGCTTGCTTAACTTATATGGGCTTGTTAGGTTTTTCGAATATTTACCAGTCTGTTCACATATAATCCGTTCATCTACTCCTGCGTCATAAAGCCTCGTGGCAGTGGATACCCTCAGCGAGTGGTTCGTTCTCTTGCTGGAGAAGGCTCTTCTTCGCACATCTTCTTCACGGTGGTTTACAGCGTGTTGTTCCCGACGGGTGTGGATGTAAACCAACAGTCTGGGGTGGGAGCTTTGGACGGGGCCAGGTAGAAAGCGTCCGTCTTCGGATTCTTGGGACTGAAATGGAAATGAAACAAGGTTTCAGAAAAACAGTCAAGTTTACCTCCAAGCATTTCAACGAGCTCGTTTTGGTATATCGTTACATAGAAGGTATCTTATGTCCTTTAAAAATTTACTCACCACAGTGACGTGTATTTCTCCCATAGCTTGATGTATCAGCGGGCGGGGTCGACATTTTCAAACACTTTGACAGTGATTCGGTTCAACCTTTCGATGTTTCAATTCTCCTGTGTTAGTTTTTGAAACATCCTCGCAGTACTGCATGTAGCGTTTCTTGGTAACTGGATCGATGAATGGTCCAGTTAGTTTGGGCTTCTCGCGCAAACGTAGACTTCTATGTTCAGCACCTCAACGGGGAGCAAAATGTAGGCCATTCATGAACACCAGAGTCTTTTGCAACTGAGCCGGATTCGTATCCCCGAGATTCCCCCGTTCCCACAAAATATTTTTATTGGTTCTGCTGGTTTTCGGTTGCTGGACCCATAGCCTGCGGCGGATAACTTTTTCATTACTGCGTCTAGTGCGGCTGTGGCCTGAGAAAAAGCCTCACTCGTAAACAAATCAACTTTTCGCGCATTCATTCTCAAGAAACCCTGAATCCCACAAAAAGCTGCATAAACACTCAGGGACTGATAGTTTTCACCATTTTCTAAAAAAACAAACCTTTGGAGCGCCTGGTTTAGGTAAAAATCTGACATGTCAAGCAGCGCACATTTTTTTTTTTTTTTTTTTTTTTTTTTTTTTATTCAGTCATGTACCACAGGGTACAGATACAGTCGAATAACTGTACAAATTTCATGTATAAAGGTAATTCGCAAAAGGATGTGGTACAGCAGAGGCATAAGGCATAATCCACAGCATGGTACAGATGAAGGCATATTTATGTAATCACTTAAGAAGGTGCGGTATTTATGGTACATCAAATTATGTTGCAAGCATCAAGTGAATAAGTTATTTTACAATTTGAGTAAACAAAGCCCATTTTCTCTTAAAGGCAGAGAAGTAATTATTTCTACGTGCAATATGATATTCAACGTCATAGAAACTTCTTATTGTGTTCTTAAAAGCAACAAAGTCAACATTTTCATTCTTAATACACTGGACAAAGATAAATCTTTTAGCAGCTACAATCAAATGGTTAATTAATTCATCAGAGGTACCAAGGAGGAGCTCGTTGTCAGTTATATGAATTTTTCTATGCAAGATATGAGTCAAGTAAATACAGAAATCTGACCAGAAATTCTTAACAACATGACATTCAATATAAACAGGAAAAACATTTTCTTTGTGAGTATGACACATAGAACACTCATCATTATCAATAAGTTTCATTCTTAATAACTCACGTTTAGTAAATATTACTTTATGAATAAATCTAAACTGGAAGTCCCTGAGTTGTGTGTCCCTTAATTCATGGCAATATACACTGAATATTTGTTTCCATGGAAAAGAACATCCTAGCTGATTTTCCCATTTCAAACAAGATTTACGGAGAGGGAGGGAATTCCCTATCAGTTTATTATAAAAAGACCTTTTGTTCCTTTAATAGAACGTGTAAGATCATAAATCCAAGGAGATACTGTGAGGTTAGAGGGGGAATGTAGATTTTTATCAATATTTTGTCTCCAACTTCTTGGAATATTAAAAAACATGCGATTATAGTCGAGAAAAGTTCCTTTAAGATCATAAAGTTGTTGTAAACGTGGGAAAGGGATCCATCCGTTTTCATCACACAAGTCTTTCATCGTAACTTTACCTTTTTTAAACCAGTCATTAAAAATTAATACTGGATCTCTAAAATAATGGTTTAACCATATGGGTTGGGAAGCAATTTCTGCATTTTCAAATGTCATATGAATGCATAAGGTCACTCCAGGCTATAAGGGTATCTTTCCAGAAAGGATTTACAATTTACCGATTCTTGTGCAAACTGGCACCTAAACTGTAGATATGAGCTAGCTGAAAACTAGCAAGGTCATAATCAATTTTTTTTTCGCAATATCTTTTTAAACATGAAATTTTCAAAGATGATATAAATTTGGGTATATCAGTCATTTTCAATCCACCTTGACTATAATTCCTTTTCAAATAATCCCTCTTAATCTTATCTCTTTTGTCACTCCAAAAATATGTTAAAAAGAATTCTATTCAATTGATCAATAAAAGCTTTTGATGGATTTTGGAGAGCAGAAAAAAATTGTACAAGGGTAGAGAGAATTAAAGTCTTAACAACTGTTATTT